AGCTCGGTCTGAAAACTAAGCTCTGAATATTCAAGTCGATCTTTATCCCCATACTTACCTACGGTCATGAGTCGTGAACCATCACTGTAAAACTTCGAACTGCTGAAGTGAGCTTTCTTAGACGAGTCGCTGGCTTCATGCGTCTCAACAAGATACGGAATACAGACTTCCTCAAGTGCCCTGCTGTTCAGCCGATGTCACTTCCGATTTAGAAGTCACAGTTGTGGTGCTTAAGGCAGTTGTTGCAACTGCCTCAAGAAAGGCATATTTTTCTAGCACGGTCGACGAGCATAAGGCCAAGGGGACAACCAAGATTAAGTCTTGTGCAAATACTTTGAAGGAAACTCCTCTAGACTCGGGTTATCCTCTGATAAGACTGTTACAGGTTCAGGAACGTTGGAAGGACTGTTTGGCGCATTTTCTTCCGTGACCCAAAAGGAGAAGCAGTAATGGAAGAGGATAATATAAAACTATTATGATGAATATGATTATTCAGTTTTGGCTACCTATTCCACGACAGCAATATCCTGCGTCACTTCTTCTAAAATTCTGTGCCTGTCTGAGAAATGATTTTGTGACGAAATCAAGTAAACTACCTTTTTTTGCGAAGTAACGTAGCTTATAATTGATGTGGAGGTAAACTGGCAAAACTTTGCTCCACATTTCATTTTGTCTTTCGTGCAGATATCAAAATTGGGATTACACACAGGGATGAAATACAGTGGAGTAATTGTGCCTGGAGAGTATTGCAACCAGCTATGATTGGCCGACGATACTTTACTGATGGAGAGGTCCCGAGAAGAACTTCATAGATGAGTTCAAGAGCGAAACGAAGTCAACGCTGAATTAAGATTTTCAGATAAATCTGAAGAAGATTCAGACTGTATTTAATAATTACCTGGCGCAGTGATTTGTTAAATTCCTTTGTAAAATACAGAATGGAGTATTTGTCACAGTTTCAATGTCGGTCGTCTTATTTTATTTTAACTATTTGCCATTTTGACACCCTTCTTTCCTGAAGATGATGGCGCAATGTTAGTTTCCCTTTCTGTTCCATCAATCGGGAGTGCCTTATTGTCAGGGCAGAGTCTACGGTCACGTGGCAAGCGCAGCTTGCAGTCTCCTATTTCCTTCCTTTACGGTGGAACTCATTTATCAATGCCGGAAGGAAGAAGGGCGTGTGATGACACCGACCAGGGCTTGAACTCGGGACTTATCGGCTCTAAGTTCGACGCTCCTCCAACTTAGCAACCCTAGTCCGAAGCATTGTCTGTAAATTGCTTTCTCAAAGCAATTTGGGAATAAACAGATATCCGCGGATTTGGGCTTGGAGAGGTGCAACACCACGTTTGTCTGCGGAATCTTACCTCTAGAAAGCTAAGCGAAAAATCAGTGGAAAAGTAAAAATTGCATGAATCCTTCTTGGAATATTAAAATGTGGCTAATTATCTGTGATTGAAACAAAACTTCTTCGATGATTGTGTGTCCCAGTGCTGAGGTACTGATCAAAAATGTAGATATTAAGTATGAAAGCTGTTCACAAACTGCTACCTACACCAAGCAGTATGGAATTATGTATTTTAGGAATATCAGAAATGATTATTTCGACAATCGAATGGGTACGAGCACAAACAGAAGCTCGCAATGTCGTTACAAACATCATTGTTGGTAAAAAGAGCATTTAGACTGGATTACAAGAGACAGCAAACGGTTCATAGGAAGATCTACAAATCAGTTGCAGCGCGAGCTCAAGATATTTATCTACGTTGATAACGACCAGGAAGACAGAATTGTTTGGTCAAATCTTACAGAAGTCTTCATCCATAATTGAATCGAAATAAGCTTCCGGTGATTATGCCTGCATATGGACCACCGTAATTATCACAAATTCTCTCTTGAATCTGGAAAGGATAAGCTTGTCCACTGAGGGAAACACGTTGATTGTAAACATATGCTGGACGAGTGGAAGCCAAAATCTGCAATAATCCATGAATGATCAAATCTTTCCAAGGTTCCGTCCACCATCTAATCGAGGAAACCGGCTCATCGGCAAAACGGCAAATGATATAAATCCTGAATGGGAGAAAGATGCTACAATGTGAGAGATAAAATTTTAAGAGCTACTGTGAAACGGATGAAGAACGCCGGGAAAAACCGTGTGCAGAAGGGTTGTGTAAACTTGGACAGTATGCTTCGGTTCGTTCAATAAGAAAATGAGTTTGATGAGATCAGTAAAATTGATGAAATCGGCGCGAGTACGAAAGGAAATTCTGAAGGACGACTAAATCAGTGAATGTGAACAGAAAGAAAATCGAGAAACTTCGATAAGAGCCAAATGTTTAGGCAACATATGTAATATCCATCGTTAGAAATGACCACTACTCATGACGGGTTTTATAATCTTTCCATTGTGCACTGACTTGTATGTCTAGCTACTTCAAGGAGTGTCCGTTGAAGTTACAGCTGTCTGCAACATGCAGCAAGCAAGAAGCTTTAAGTCTCTCCATTTGGAAGACAATATAACCCTTGTGTTGACAGAGCAGCGGCTTGCAACTCGTTTCGTTGCAGATTAGACCGAGGCGACGAATTAAGATCCACTGCCGCTTATCCCATATTTTCCATAGTATTTTAAAGACACAGTTTCTTGAGTTCATTTGTATGTTATCTGTTGCCTAAGTTTCTTTGGCTTGACAGCAAAATCTCTGAAAACGCGGTGAATGCGTAGTAGAATTTGACAGAAATCGGTACGCAGGATCGTGGGGTGCAAGGAAGCTGGGCAGAGCGTGTCTTCTACAGTTACGGCAGTTGAGAAAACATGCCATGAAGCCTGAAACTGTCTCCAACAAAACTACAATCACTGTAGATTTTTGTGCAACTCAGACTCAGATAAATATTGTGACACTAACTCATTGGAAAGAACGCCATTTTTCATTTCTGAGGAGAACACCAATGAATGAAATTTATTTTGCTGATGAGCGAAATTATTGATGAATCCCACTTTTAAGAATGGTGAAGGATCATACCATCTATGTTCTGGACAAAGAATGACGATGAACTGGTTATTGAAATATTATTATTGTTATTTTAAACACGAAAATGGATCTTCGAAGGGAATTTAGTTCAAAATTCGCAGGTCCTTAACGGGATTACGGCAAATGTAAAATTTACCATAGGAATTGGTGTAGAAAGTTTCGCTCTCGGAATTCTTTCTACATGGTCCCACAGAATACAGTTCTATTCTTATACTATACGTTGCACTGCCACTGAGTACTTTTAGCATACCTGCTTTATCGCCTGTGGATCTTTCACTAGTCTTCCGCTCTTCACCCTTCTGTGCTTTTCAGTTCTGATCTGGGTTGGCATGGCACAACGCCGATGAAATAAAAAAATCTTCGGCATGGAACTAAGTTCGCAGAGGAAAGAGGTTATGGAGCAATTCCCACTATCGAGGCTAAGACGTCTATAATGAGGCTAAGCCTAAATGTACCGACGAATACTGTAATATCTTGTCTATAATATGTCTTTCCCTGAAGATGGATCGAGCATGATCCGAAACGTCGGAAAACATTTATATAATAAATTTTATATGGGGTGCAGTGCCGCAACGGACTTGTCGAATATTGTATTACTGTTATTTTAGAAATTTGGCAAAATTCCTTTTCGCAAAATTTTGAAATGAAAACTCTTGCTAATTTAGGCTTTAACACATTTTTATGATTGTGACGTCGCAGCTTCAGGAGGCTCTACATTATCGGCACCGACATCTGTTCATACGAAAGTCAGGTTCATAGACGCTAAGCATGATTTTTGAACTTTTCGTAACTCTGAAAAGCCAGAACGACTTTAAAGCATATGATGCATAAAAGACCTGTGTACTGTGAGAAGAACATAAGCGGTAAGAGTTTTTTGAGTACGCAAGAATTGGGTAACACACACGTCTTAAGGAGTATCTAAATGAAGAAAATATGAGTCGCTTACGATCGTCAGCCAGACGTTGGTCTGGAGGATTTGGTTCTTTTCGTCCTAAATCGCGGTTGTTAAGTACAAGCTGAAGTCAGAACTCGAAAGCGGCTTCGTGGCGTTCGTCGCCTTATCCGCCTTCGGCAGTTTTTCACCTACCACGTTGACGATGAGGACGAGTGACATACCGAACTCGACCAGCACGCTGCGGTTATTCGGTGGAAATGGCAGTACGTATCGGTTGTAGTTTTTGAAGATGTCGGCGATGATTTTATCCTCGTTCTTGGAGCACGTTGCTGAAAAGGTAAGTACTGCATTGAGCATGAGTAAGCACGCTTACACAATCGTCTAAGTGAAAAGAATGGCCACGCAATCGAAACAAAATACAAAAGCAAATGGAATTACCCAGTGGTAAAAACGTTGCCATTAGCACAGCTAAGGGACGAAGGATATTCATCAGTACTATACTCCAAGAGGGCATACAAGCATCAGGAAGAGCTTCCGCTTTGTCGTCTTACGGATCGCTTGCAAATTCGTTGTCAACGGCCAAACGGCTGCAGATCCATTGGTATAGTGAAAGATAACGCAGCCTAATTGAATCAACGTCACGTCTAACATGCCTAGGGGATGCATAAATTTACGATCGTCTTCGGTCACAACGACAAGCCATCGATTGCCATCTGTTCGTCAGGAACCATACACATCGATCATGTTTTGCGCGTCATTGATTTCTCATCCCTCATTTCTGCCCTCATTTTTAGGTTATTCAAAACATGCGTTTTCATCTCCGGATTTTGTGGTCTCACACTTTGTGCGAATAGACTGACAAATTTCGCCTTCTATAACCGACTCTTTTTTCGGGTCACGAAGGCAGACGTGTCAGACAAAGCACCAAACGTATTCCATCTTGTGCCATAATCTGAACTTCAGCAGAATACAACCGGAATTTAAAGCAAACTCCTTCCATGTATCTGCACCAACTCACTCTTGGCCGTCAACTGAGTCTTGTGCCAGTCAGTTGAGCAAGAAATATTTGCTTCGCCTTCGTTTCTGGAGGCTTCGTGAAACATGCCCAAACCATCGCAGCTGCGGCACCAAGGCTCTCAGATGTCAGTATTCCGGACCATGTCGAGACGCGTAAAGCCAGCGACTCATCTAAGAAAGCCAATTTCAGCAGCTTGTACCCGGGTCCGAAGTTTTTCAGTGATGGTCCACTACTCATGACCGTAGGTAAGTTTGGGGATTAAGATCGACTTCAACATTGAGAGCTTAGTTTTCAGACTGAGCTCTGCTTTAGTCACAATGGGTCAGGCTAGTTCACGCAGAACGCCATTGGCTACTCCAATTCGCCGGTCGATCTCTTCCTCCAATTTTCCATCACTAAAAAATACAGCTCCGAGGTAGTTGAAATTCTCCACCTGCTCCACTGCCTCTCCGTTAATCTGAAGAGAACAACGGGCAGGAAAACAAGAAAGCACTAGGCTTTTCGTTTTAGATGCGTTCACACGCATGCCGGTCACGTCGCACTCGGCTGC